GATGATTCCTTCTGCCTGTTACATACTTTTTCACAAAAACATTATACTCTGATTTCCCATTTTCAATGGGTTCAGGGTATAATAAAACTAAAGTTAATAGGAAAATAGGTGCTGACGCAGAACTTCATACGAAAATAAATATTGAATAAATAAAAACAATTTAACAAAAATCAACTATTGTGTGGACTACATAATAATAACAATAATTATAATAAAAGATAATTTTTTTCATGATATATACTATATATGACATGCATATATCAATTCGTTATTGTAACACCCCTCAGGCTTTAAAAAAGAACCCTGTTATTATTTCCCTATGTTCAGTGTCCTTAAGTTTGGAAATACGAAACTAGAAATTGTTACAGAACAAACTGTTTATTACCTAATATTCGATAGGAAATGTTCCGATTCAGCCGTATATAGTGCTTCAAATCGAACTAATTTCAATTTTCATCCCGCATCCTTTAATTTAAGTATTGAGCTTTGGAGCTAAATCTAGTCAGTGACAATATGCAGACTAGGAATAATCAACTGTAATCAATATTATGATAGGTCCGGAATAAAGGACCATACTCATATCAATTCAGTTGCTATTGAAGCAATAAACGTGCATCCTCGGTCATCCATTCCGTGTTCAGGCTGTTTGTAGGCTACACATGTGGTTGAGCTGACTCCGCTCCTATAGCACCGACTAGCCTTCCTCCTGGCCAATAAAAATCGACTTATGCTTCCTTGTACCGAACTCTACTAAGCTTACACTAACTTATGCTAACTTCGATCAAAATAATATAGAACATATTTTTATACCCTGAACTCATTTAAAAAGGTAAATCAGGGTATAATAGCTTTCTTAAATATGTAAGTGGTAGAAGGTGGCGTGGCAGACCTCACAAAGTATATATATTCTTGATCAGGGTGATAAGCTGAGTCGATTTGGCGCTGTCCGTCCGTCCGTACGTACGTATGTATGAACGCGTCGATCTCAGAAGATATATGAGCTAGAGACTTGAAATTGTTTTTTCTAGGTGCGTGTATATCACACGCAAATTGAGTTTATCACTAAAATCGATAACTGCTCCCGATATTTTATTATCGACTAAAAACCTCATCAAAAGCTGCTTATTTAATTATATCTTTTAGAGCTAGAGCTTTCAAATTTTAAATGTTGGCTTATGTGTATTTTATATAATTTCGATTTTTGTTGTAATTAACCCCACACCCATATATCCACCCCCTCACCATCACCTTTGTAAAAGGCGTATTTCGTATAGAGACTTGTGCTTGTTCAATTATTCAACAAATAATTTCGTATAATATTGCCCGCACTGCAGCGCAGCCAGAGCGCAGTCGTTGCTTTCTGCGCAGTCAGCAGAGCGCGTTCTAATACGTGCGTGTGTATGTATGTGTGCCTAAAAGAAGTGCAGAGTGATTAGAATAACAAATTGCAGGGTTCAGGGTATCTCCTAGTCGAGCAGTCCCGACTAGAACCTTCTTACTTGTTTGATATTAAGACTTGTGAAAATAAAGCTAATTGAAACTTGCAAAATAGGTAAAATAACAAAAAGGCAAATAATATGAGTAAAACGTTCCCACGAATAAAATTTATAAAAGAAAAATTCATCCAATTATCTGACGAAGCTCTCCGGCTGAGCAACTGAGCTGTGCCACTAGATTGCCATGCCAATATTTTTGGGATGCACTATGTGCTCTCTATTGATGGCTGTGCATGTGCGAGATGAAACCGTTGTGTGATGGCAGTGAAATGATTTCCTTTCCTCTCCTCTCCCTTCTCCCCGAGGACAGGCATCGAGCAGCCAATTGGCTTTCCTTTTGGAATGAAGTGCCCTGAGTGCTTTTGAGATACGAGACATTCACATGCAGCACTCACACACACAAACGATTCGAGTGCATGAATGAGTGTGTGTGTGTGTGGGTATGTGGGTGTGTGTGTGCCTGGGTGCTTGAGTGCGATGTTTGCTTACTCGAAATTAGACGATTATAAAAAGAGCTGCTTGTTTTACTACCTGGAGACGGAGCTTTGTAAAGGAGTTTCAATTGTTACTGGTGTTGCATACCCTAAATCAGATGGCTCCTCCTGCTCGTAGGCAAAATCGTCGGAGTCTTCGCGGCCCGAGTGCCACCACGCGATGCACCACTCCTTGATGCTGCCAAAGCAAGAGTATGGCTTTTTGATTGTATTGGTGCTCTTGATCTGCGCATAGAAATACATATAAGCCACGCACAAGTCAAATAGAACGCTGAAACGAATATGACGAGCAACCTGGTGTCGCCTGCCTATCTACTCAACTTACGCTCGACTTGCGTGAGTGCATGCCGTGATATCCCGAGTCGATGACCATGTTTGTCATGTAGACACTTTCCGCATCCGCCGAGCTCTCGGAGCGCGGCCGTCGCCACGTATCATGCTCATTTCCGCCCAGCTGGCCGAACCCCAGCAGACCCCCCGATGTATGATTCACCACGGTATTTTCATCGCTGAAATGTAGATCAAGAGCAATTGTGAGAATTGTGAAACAAGTAAGAGTGCTCTAGTCGGAAATGCCCGACCATATGTTTAACACACGAACAGACAGAGGGACGAACATAAAGACATGTCTAGGTCGAACACATATAACATACACTTCGACCTGTGCTCCCATTTTTAATAGAGTATGAGAGCTTGTCAAAGAAATTGCCTAAAGAGCTCCAATCATAGAATTGCGAATGATTGCAGCTACAGACTTAATAGATAAATGAGTTGAAATCCTGAAACTGAATGCAAAAAAAATAAGTGCAATAATGGTAAAAATATGGTAAAACTTAATTAGAGATATTTTTGATTTCAGAATATGGGAATGCTGTCTCAAACGGTAGAGCGGGTGACCGATTTATATAATGTGTATTACTATTATAATATATTAATATTATATAACCTACTAGCCGGCAAACGTTGCATTGCCCTATCCATTATTTCTAGGTAAAAAATTGTTGAAAG